TTTTTTTTTTTTTTTTTTTTTTTTTTTTTTTTTTTTTTAATCATTTACAGCTTTTTTTTTTTTTTTTTTAATCATTTACAGCTTTGGGTGACAATTTCTGGAGAAMGGTGGTTTCTAGCAGGTTAAACGCTGACACCTTGGTCAGGTTGTGGAGAGTTTTGGCCTTGCTTTTTCAGGAAAACTTCAGATCCCTTGGAAATATTTCCAGAGGGACTGATCGTGGCTCCATGGATCCAGAGCTGCCCAAAAGCAGAACCCTCTTTGGTTTTAAATGAGTTTCTAGGTGTTTTGGTGCATTTCTTTATGGATAGTTACATTTATTGGCATTATAACAGAACTCCTCAGAAACGACCACACACACCCAAAAGAAAGATTTCATGCAGTGCTTTTTTGATCTCTTTTAGCAGCTACTTTATTTTTCTGTTATTTATCGGATTTGTAGAGGAAAAAAAGCTTCCAGGTGAGCTGCTAGGGTTTCAGAAGCTGCAGATGCTGCCTGCCAAGGAAGGAGGCCCCATTTTGGCATCAAACAGACATTTTAAAGTACTGCTCTTCATGCTTCATAACAACCTGCCCGTTTACAGTTAGGTGAAAGAACTTAGAATTTGGAATTTGAACTAAATACCTACTTAAAACTTTTTTCTTTTTCATTTTTTTTTTCTTTCAAATTCCTTCCTTACTGTTAATCAGAACTTTTCTAGGACATTGAGATAATGTAATTTTACCGTCCCAAGTCAAGGAAGGTCTCATGTGGCTTTCCCTGGGCACAGCAGTAGAAAAAGAAAAATCTTTTTTAGGGATATTTCAGCCAGCAGGAGCATGGACTAGTAAGCAAAATTAATATTAATGTTGAAACTACACCTAGTGGYATAAGTGTTCAAAAATAGCTGGATTTAGAGAGCAAATCTGCATTAAAAACATTTGRGTATGACTTTTTCTTCATTGGAAAGGCTTTTCTTTCTTAACTCTGCTGCCAAAATACCACTTCAGCTTCAGTTCAGGAATACAGCATGGTGTGCTTTTGAAGAAAAATAATTATTTTGAATAACACAGTTTATTTTAAAGCAGTGAAAACTCTTCTGATTTTGGTTTGCTATCTAATTCCATTTTCTTACTTAATGTCATGAGTTTTACTGTGTTTTACTCAGGAAGCCTTCTCATAATTCCTTCCATATATATGTATGAATAACAGGCAAGAACCTATAAAATGAGCTTTGTGCCAAGATGAAGCAGGACTGATGTGAACTTTGTCTTTGTTTCTAGCCCAGAGGAGCTTCCTGTTCATGATGTAGCAATAGAAAAGGTAAGTCCAATGTCACCCAACCCTTCAAAGAGGAAGGGAACAGTCACAGATTTATGACTCTTTTCTGAAATAAATGGCTACAAAAGTAGGGGATGAAGTGTTTTAGTGGTTTGCATTTCCAAAGAGCTCTATTCCTGTATCTCATAAGGATGTGGTCATTGAGGTTGTGCTAACGAGCTGCCACATCCCATGGGGTCACATAATACTTGGCACCAGCCCTAGTGCAAAGGAAAAACTGTTTTTTTTTTTCCTCTTGCATTGGTTCAGGTGTATTACCACGTACATGACCTGAAATTGTTGCATTTTTTCCTGATATTTTCCATCTCAATCCCATTCTGAGCAAACACATAATTTCATTTCCTTCAAAAGGACACAGCAGGGTGTTGAGCCCATGAGCATCACTGTCAGACAGCTGGTAATTATTGTACTCTATGTGTTTTGAAGCTCTGATTCACAGTAGCTGTGTCGCTTAGCCTGAAATTATTGGCTGAAAATACTGCCTTACTTCACCATCACTTCACCATATTTTATTCACGCTGTCTCAGACAAAATGCCAGCCCAGGAACTGTATTTACTGAATCAGTGCTAAATTGGAAATGTAGTTTCTTTGGACCATCAGGCAGCGATGCGCCTGGGTTAGACTCCTGATCATACCCTGACCTCTACTGGTCTGAGGCTCAGATCTGCTTTTTTTAGCAGCAGTGTTTGGATCTTTGCAATTTGCACCATCCCATTCATAGGGTTATTAATGTGCTGTGTTAATGAAGACTAACACTACAAGCTTTCTGTGCAGTATGTTTTCARATCACTTATTTGATTGGATTGTTCCTCTTTGCTTTACATATTGCCTGTGATTTAGAAAAAAACCCRTGTATTTGTAAGTGGTATTTTGATGTAGCTTGTAGCTTATGTAAAGAGTTGTCCATATGTGTGAATTTTGAATCCCTGCTCATTCATATACATTCTAGTGTAGCCTTAAATTGGATTTTCTTTCTGTATATCTGCAGGCCTGATGCTTTCAGGATAAGAATTATTGCTATGAACACAGGGTAATTTTCATGCTTTGTTACATTGCCAGGCCCTTGGCTGTTTAAATAAAACAAATCATTGCCCTATATTATGGGCCACTCCACCTTCAGATAAACTGAGCAGCCCTTCCTAGGGAGGAAGGGTCATCTGGAAGAAAACAAGTGGATTGGAAAGAGGGAAAAGCTGAGAGTCAGAATCTCCATCTGGTTTTGAAATGCTGCAGAAGGTTCTTTACATCACTTTTATTTTTGTTGTTGATTAACTCGATTATAAGTTTTTGAGGAAAGGCACTTGGTGTTTTATAACTTTCAGTGAATTTTGTTTTTTTGAAGCTTCTGCTAAGCATTGCTGTGAGCCTTGGCTCTGGCACCCTTGCTCCCCAACTTACCTTCATGCCTCCCAACAGTCTATTATTTATTGACTGCTAAGGAAACCTCCTTGCTTCAGTTAGGGATTCTGTCACTTTCAGTGGTGGAAATGTTTCAAAAGTGTAAAATACACTCAAAGATAGATAAATGGTTTTTTTCCCTCTTTGTTTTTTTGGAGACTGCTACATGGGACTTGCCTCAAAGAAGCATCTGCAAAGAGCATCCGTCCGCTGCGCAACAAGCAGCCTCAGATCTGTGCATGTTTTCAATGCTGCACCTGTTAGGCATGAAAGTGAACATAATTCAGACAAAAAAAAAATAGCTAAGACTTTTTTAACAGCCAAACACAGAAATAATTGCTGTTTTGACGACAGTCGGATCGCTTGAGAACTGGGATAAACTGACACGGGAGACATGAAAGCGCGAACAAACTCGCATTGAAGTGAGCTGCCAACTCAAAAGGCTGAAAATCCTGAAAGCAGATCAAAGATACAAACAAAAAGGCTGCGGGAGCCGATGGGGTTTTATTTTTCTTATCAATTATCTGAACAACCTGTTGAGGGCAGAGACCTTTCCTGACTTGATAGCGATGTTATTCCTGCGATTGAAACTATGGCTAAAAAAAGTCTGAGATGTTAAAAAAGCTGAAAGGTTTGGAAAGGTCTGTGGTGCAGAGGAGAATCAGAAGTGTGTAATTCAGGAAGCAGATTTTTTTTGACATTCCCCTTCTAAATGATCTGTTAAGTGTTTTGAAAAYAGAAAGGATGCAAATGGGTAAGAAATCACCAAGTACAGCCTGAACAATAATGTGGAAGATCTAATTGCAACATGAAGAATAAGGTTGAGAATGAAGTGCTTCTTTCCACCCATATCTTGCGTATACTTCCATCAGTTTAGGTCAGTTGGGTGGAAACACAAATAACTTTAAAAATAAGTTGTTTCCAGGGCAGTTAATGGACAGGATCTTGGTTGAAGTGGATCTGAATGATCATTAAATTGTATTTCTAGTTTACACGACTTTGATCTGCTGGACTGAAGAAATCCTTTGCCTGTTTTATTCTACTGATACCCCATAGATATTCCATTGAATTAGATTGAGGATTTCTAGCTTTTAATGTCCAGAATCGGAACATACTTCCATTTCTGGCACTGCAGTGTCACTCTGCATGCACTTACGCATGTGCTTTATTTAAAACTAGGGAGCAGTTTAGCTCGACATACATATTAGTTAACTCTGTCAATACCTTAAATCTGCTTCTTTATTTTTCTTAATGTGTTTTGTGCCTGACATAAGCAGAAGTTTTAATTATTAATTGGAAGGAAGTGAATTGTGTTCAGGGAAAGTCAAGGTAAGGGAAGTCATTACTTCAAAGTCGACTTTTAAAGGATTGCAGTAGAAATTATTTGCCTGAATGTTTACTTAAAAAAAAAATGGAGCAGAGCTTTTCTGTACTTGCCAAAAATGTGGAGAGAARCTAATATAATTCTTTCACTAAAAACCTCCTAAAAAACAGTAAGGAGAGGGGGGAAAAAAAGAAAGAAAAGAAAGAAAAAGCCCTGATTGTCAGCACCATGTGAAGAATTCTTATAAATATAAGAGCAGTTCAAATTAARTGGTGTTACTTGCTTGCTTTTTTAGGTTGAGTGGACCAGAAATTGAAGATACTGTTTTTCTCAGTTCTTAAAATGCCTAAAATAAATCATTATCAATGTGTTCTACATGTAAACAAATTGATTTTCCAATTTCAGCAAAAGCACCTTGAAATCGAAAGAACTACAAAATGGCTAAAGATGCTCAAAAGCTGGGAAAAATACAAGAATAGCGAAAAGGTAAAAATATTAGTGTTTTTTCTTTATTTCACCAACTGTCGCTACTGAATGAACATGTAAGCTTAATTCTAGTTGTGTTGTTTTTATTATACTCAGAAGCACACTTGGGGGAAAAYGCTTTTTTTGTTGTTTTTCCACAATGCAGTAATTAACATATGCATAAATATATTCATTCTCTCTCTCTCTCTCCATATACATACATACATATATATATATATATAAACTGAGTTCAAATGTTAATTTTTAAGCAGATTCAGTAACATATTTGGACTAATTTCTGCTTACTGCACTGCACCTGCCTGGTGGTTTGGGACCACGCTGCCTGCCATGTTCACATCTGCAGAATAAATAGTGGTGCTGATGAAGTCTTGTCTTTTATGAAGTGAGCCAAGCAAAATTGGGTTTGATTCCTATTTTRAGAAGAGGAGGAGAATGAAGAGGAGAAAGAAAAATGCTTTTCTCAACTAGAAAAGAGAGGACACCTTTAAAAGAGAATACCTGACTTCTTCAGGAATCRTAAATCCCTTTTAAGGATTATGAATTTTAAATTTACTTTTCATTTGTATGCTGGATATTGTCGTAATTCGTATTTAAATTTAAAGTTACTCTTTTGAGGCACAGCTAGGGTCTTACTTGGATCTCTGAGTTCTTTATTATGATTCTCATCTGTGAGTG